TATAGCCCCTTTGCATTCTAGCTTGTAGACCTTGAGTGTGTGAGTCATAAGCATGCTGTAGTTGGGTTGTTTTAGTGGTTTGGCACCACTTATAATGCTATTTCAGTCCATAACAATGGAAGTGAAAGTGTGCATAGCAATGCTCGTGAGACATGCATAGCAAGGCAAATGCAAGAAATGTACGCTTCATGCAACATTAAGATGCACATTTCATGCCAGGGTGAGAAGTGCACATTCTATGCAAGCAAGGTTAAAACGTGCTCCATGCAATGTACATACTCTATGCAAAAGGATCAACGACGTACATCCAATGTGACATGTATATTCTATGCGACAACAAGAATAAGTATAGTACAAGATGCATTTATGCACTATGTGTGATGATCTACTTGCGAGTAGCAAACCATTTTCAAAACAAACATGAAATGTTTTGTTCCAATTTGGGCGATTTGGTCTATACTTGTTTGCTGTGCGCATAACATAGTAATTCTAGGCTAATAATTGGAATAAGAACACATAACGTTTTCCAAATCGGATATCATGGTTAGTAGAGGCCGGTCTTCGGACCGGGCGAAAGGGGGTGCTCATAGCTGACCTTCCCCGATCGTACCCAAGCTCCCGAGCCGAGACAACTCCGGTGATGACGGACATGTGGCCTTCGGCACTGAGTCAGGGTTTCCTAAATTTCCCCATTTTAAAAATATTTAGGTGGCGACTCTGTATCTGGCAAAGCAGTCCATGTTTGGCACTACTTTTTCAAAAATCTGTTTCTCAAAATGATTTGCCAGATTTGGACTCTTTGGTTTAGATTAAGAACCGCGACAACACAAAAATCGCGAGTACGAACTATAGTAGCGAAGGTCCCCCCGCGGGCTTGCTACAGCGCTGAAGACATCGTTGGCGTATGGCACCATGTACGTCGGCAGGAAGACAGTTGGGGGAGAGGCAAACACGTCAGTTCCAGATCCTTGGCCGAGCTGTTCGCAACCAACCTTCCAGCCGGCCTTGAAAAAAATGTCCTGGGTGGCATAAACTTGCTTGGTGTAGTTTTCCTCGGCCTCCTTGAAACCTTCGTTGTTCGCCTCATCCAACTCATCCTTCCTTGCTTGTTTCAATGCTTCTAGCTCGGCCTGGAGAGCGTCTCTTTCTTGCTTAGCGGCTCCAAGTTGGCCGAGCAATTTGGAGTTGTCTGAGTTCACAATCTCCAAAGAAGCTTTCGACCGCCCCAGCTCGATCTGAAGGTGCTCAACCTGGCTGGCAGCGTCCGTCGCCTTCTGCCGAAGTCTATGAATCCGCTCCATCACCAGATGTTGTTTCTGGATGGCCTGCAAGAAGAGAGTTTGATTAGAGAAAGGAAACCGAGCAAACACTTGGAAAAATTTGAATAAAGCATGCGAAATTCTTACCCGGGTCATAGACTTAACCGAGGACTTCACGAGTCGGGTGTCCGGCACGTGGTCGCTGCCGATCATATCGCTCGGCAGAAGCAGGGCTTTGGTTAGATTGAAGGCAAGGAGGTGCTCTTTGTTCTTTTTGACCGAAGCATTGGCTGGATCTCTTTTCCCCGGTGCTCGGTGTTCAGCTCTGCTACGAGCTTAGCTGAGGGATCGGTGGTACGAGGCCTTTTACCAGTGCGGTGGCTTTCCTTGCTTGTCTACACCGTGGCGGTTGATGCCAACGCGACCACGGCCCCGCTTGATTGACTGGCAACGACTGTGCGGGAGGGGATGCTCGGTAGATTGGTTGATGTGGCGGTGATTAGATTTTTGATGCGGCTTCGTTTCGCCATCTCCTCTACTTCGGTCAACCGGATAAGGGGCACATCCGGTAGTGTTGGGTCAAGAGGTGGGGACGACGCTCGGAGGAAGTCTGTCACTTTACTCCAGCGGGGAGCAGAGTATCTGTAGGTCGGTACGTAACCGAGAAGTTCATGGCAATCCCGATTACTGTACCGAAGCACTGTTTTAATGGCTGATTCGTTGGGGTTGTAGTAGTGGGCTTGCAAAGCTTCAATGGCTGCAAAGAGAAAAGAAGAAAAGATATTAAGTACATAATAGTGAAGGAAAGTAATTTGACCGAGCAGTTAGCACAGCTTACATGTTGAACCGAAGTTCTTGCTGATATATCAGCTTGGCACGTTGGCTGTTTCATAATTACCGGACACCTAGAAAAAGTCATCGTCGTGCATGTCTTTATCTGGGGTGCCGGTTACTATCTTCTCCTTGCCCAGTCTGATTTTTAAATAGTAGTTGAGACCATCGCCGGTATGCCCTAGGGTGTACTGGCAAAGTATCTCGGCTAGTCCTAGGCTCAGGCCTAACTGGTTGTTCAGCTTGGCTATCCCGTTAATTATCCTATAAGTGCTGGTTGAAACTTGGGTTGGAGCTAGCCCGATGCACCTCAAGAACTCGCACATTAATGGGTTGACCGGGAAGGGAAGGCCGCCTTCGATAATGGAAAGCACGGTGAAATGGCACTGGTCTAGTCTGCCCCAAGGGGTTGTGTCCTCAGCACCGAGCTCTAGATGTACGTCGGCGGGGACACCGCATTCTTCCCGGAACGCGGCTAGTGCGACCGGCGTGTCAACCAGGAAGCGGTAGCGCCCCATGTGTAGCCGGCTGGTTTTAGCATGGCTGTGTTGGTTTGGCAAATTTCTCGGTTGATGGCTGCTCGGCCTTAGAGAGCCTCAGTATTGGTGCGTGGTCCTCTTGGACTCTGCAGTAAAAGGAAGTTTAAGTGTAGACGGGAGTGCGGTCGCGCAAAACGAGCTTGACTTTAGCTCGGTCAGATGGAGTGCCTAACCATCTCGGTCACAAGGGTAAACCTAGAAGCTCGGTCGCTCAAGCAGGCCAGATTTTAGCCCCGGTCGAGCGGTCCAGCACTTTGTTACCTCGGTTCATACGCAAGTTTTACAAACCTACAACTTGCTCAGTGTTGGTGTTTTTTAGGATCAAACGAAGACCTGGAGCCCGGTCCGCCCCAGATCCTCGTGTGTTCATCACTGAGGTTGAAGAACAGTAAAGAGAACATGGGCAAATGAGGGTTTTGGGGGGTTATATCCTAAAACCAATGGTTTTTCGTGCCCAAAATTGTGAAATCCCAAATAAAAAAGCAATAAAGGGGTTCGAAGAACTTACCAGAATGGGGCAGAAGTCGAGTCTTCAAGCATGAACGCAGTAGAAAGCAAGAATGGAGCTTGAAAAAGCAATGGAGGTCACTGTAGGTCGTCTGGAATGAAAGAGAGACAGTAGGAAGAAAATGAAGGGGGATGTGGCGTGTTTATAGGAGAAAAGAACCGCCTAAATTTGAATCTGAAGAGACGGCTGGGTTGGCTGCTCGAGGCCAATAAATGATCGACGCGTGTCCCCATTGACAGCGGCATCAATATTGAAGAGACAGGAAGGTGAGTTGAGACATCAACTGAGCAAATCAAGAAACCGAGCTTAGGGATTAGCGCGGTTAACGTTTTGCGAACTAAGAATCGAGGGAGAATTTACCCCGGTCGGATCAGATAATCCCAATCACGCTTGCGCGGACGGAATTAAGGGGCAATTGAGAGGCAGATTTATAATCTGGTTTTGGGCCGTGGAGGAAGTCGGACTGGATAGGGCCGAGCACGTTTGGGCCGAGCTAATTTGGGCCTGTTCCGAGTGGGTTTCACTCGGTCGTGGCTCGGGCCCCCTGTTTAGGCCGAGCTAACTGGGGCTTCCCTGGAGTTGATCTTGCTCGATCGAGGCCCAGGCCCGAGGTCCAGGTCCCATGTTTGGACCGAGCTTACTTGGCCGAGATGACCGTCTGCCAGCCCAGGTTCCATGGGTCGCACGCGTAGCTCGGTGGGAAATGTTTTATGTTTACCGGCCGACCTGTCTTGAGCTCAGCTCTGCCGGAATGCTACTGAGCTTAGCCGTTATGGGGCTCGGCGAGTGGAGCACTCAGGCATGTTACGCAGCACGGTCGTGGAAGGCTGAGGTAATGCCGCCGGGCTACCGAGTTCCCGCTAATGTTGTCTGACGGTTTGGTTAGGTGGTGTTCGCTGGATTTGTGCTGACAAATAGGAAAGGAGCTCCACGTGTCGAGAGACTAATGGGTGCAGAGTTGAGCGCAGAAAGTATATAAGCATGACTGCGCCCCCATGCTAGGGATGGAACATCATTTGGTGAGAAACACTCATTGTGATATATCTCTCTCTTCCTCTCTCTCTCTCCCTGGGTGTGTGTGCTAACTTGATCGTCGGAGGCGTTTTCCGGCCACACACTGCCGGGTAGCTTACCGTCGTTGTGCTCGCAGGTCGATCGGATAGACAAGGAGCTTGGATGAAAGGAGTACGGGCTCCGCGGAATATTTGCTCCCCATACAATTGGTTATTTTTATTTAGAGTATATCCAAAATCTCTACAATAATTATTATATTTTCATATATGATATAAATATTATTTAAAGAGATTTTACTATACATACAAATATTTTAATAACGAAGTCACTGTGCATTTAAATATTTTAATAAAAAAGTTACTATACAATTTACTGTGCATCATTTGTTTTTACAGCAGAAGTTCTGAAATATTTGTATTACTATTTATCGAAAGTGACGTTTGGCCAATTGTTTCAATCTTATGAGTTGCAATTTTTGAAAATGGAAAAGGCCTCGTGCACACGTGAAAAAGAGCGTTGGTCGTGAAATTAGTGATCCGAAGAGGAGTGTCCTCCTCTCTTCAATAGATATGAGCCAACGGATATAATTTTATGATATATAAAGAGTATTTTGGTTGAAAAAAAAAAGTGTTGAAGAAGAGAAGAAAAGAAAAAATCTGTGATATTTATTTGTTCTTAAAATATTATTATGTGTCATTGAGTTGTATTTTCTATGAGAAAATTTGTTGAGAACTTGAGCAAATTTGTAAAAAAGTTTTCTATCCCTTATTCTTATTATTATTGTAAAAAATGAAAAAGGTTTTGTGAGTGATTTTTCAGGATAAAATCACTTGGGTTTGGTGAGACTAGGCACCGGATTCAAAACTAGTCATGTTACTTTTGTGAGTGATTTTTGGCATAAAATCACTTGGTTAGGTGTAACTAGGCACCATATTCTAAACCACTCTGTAAAGGTTCATTAGCACCCATAAAGCTAGTGGTGTAATTACTATTTCAAAAATAGTGAAGAAATTCTCGAGGGGGATACTTGGGAGTGGACGTAGTCCCGACGTGCCGAACCACTATAAATCTCAGTATTTGATTTTCTTTCCTTTTCCCTATCTCTCTTACTTTTTTATAATTATTGTTTTATTTTTTATTTGTTAAAATTTGAATATTGTGTTTATTATTTTTAATAACCTAATTTATCCTCTCTTGGGTTGCCTATCTCGAATGACAATTAATTTTTATTGATAAAATATTTAACAAGAAATAATATATTTTAAATTTTTCTCCAAATAGGTATTTTCATACCCCAAAAAAAATAAAAAAAATAAAAATTAAATGCCTATATGTATTTTTAAATTTTTATTCAAATTCTAATTTCTCAAAATAGGTATTCATAAAATTGGTGGTCTTTTAAAGAATAAAATTGGCATCTTTTATATTTTGTTTTGTAGTTTTCAAATAAAGGATTGTATTTAATTTAATATAAGATTTGATGGTGATCTATTTGTTGGCTCTTTTATTTTTTATTTTTCAGATAAGATACTGTGTGGTTATTCTACTATATATATATGCCCGACATTATAAAAGTTTTGGTTTTATGTAATGAAATGAGCAATGATTCCTTTTTTATAATAGATTGAATTTTTATTTATTGTTTAAACATATTTATTGATGTTAAGTTAGGGTTTAATAACGCATATAAGATATAATATGTTAATCTCCATTTTTTTGTTACAAATATATATATATATATATATTAATGAACAGAATAAAAAAATTTAAGATTCTATATTTAGGGGTGGTTTGAGATATTCTAAATAAGTACACTTTTTGACTTTTTATGAAATATGGGTTGGGTTTGAAGTGATGTGGTGGAGAGATGATGTGACTTAAATAAGATGATGTGACTTAAATAGGATAGTGACTTTTTGACTTTTTTAGTACATGACAAACAAGGCCTTCAATTATTGAGTAAAAGATGACCCGTTTGCAAATATGTGCAAGAAAAATGTTTCATACCACTAATTTAACACTATTAATACACCACTAATGACGTGGCATTATATAGATTCCACCGCTGATGTAACAGTTTGACAATTATTTTTTTATTTTTCTTTACACTGCGACCTTATTAGTGATGCAATAAACAAAGTTTGTCACCAGTCAACAATGACGGTAATCTATAATCTATAACTTATATAGGCCCTGTTTGGTAGATCTTATTTCCAGCTTATTTTAGCTTTTAGCTTAATTTAAGCTATTTTGATGTGTTTGGTTCAGCTTAACAATACAGCTTATAGCTTTTTATAAGTCAAAAATCAACTTATTCTTTGAATGGGGGAAGAGAAGCTTAATTTATAAGTAAAAAATCAGCTTATATTCACAGCTATAAGTTATAAGCTATTAGGTTATAAGTTATAATCACTCTCACACAGCTCTACCAAACGGGGCCATAAAAAGAATGTAAGCATGGTGTAACGCTGTCTCTTGGTGTAACGCTGCTTCTTGGCTTCTTGGTGTAACTTCGTTCCTTCCCTTGTAGTTTTGGGCTGGCCACGTGGCCTTCAAAATAGCCACACGCATGACAGTAGAAGAAAACAAAATTCTATCATTCCTCCTGCAAATTCGTAATTCCTCTCTGCTGCTGCTACAGATTTTCCCAAGGTTGGCTGAAGATATTTTTTTCGCTTCTGTTTGCGTCATTTCCAATACCATGAAGAAGAAAACAAATTTTGCCACTTCCAAAAGCAGGCCTCACCGACCCTACAGGTCCAACTCGCACTCATGATGATGGCTGAATTTTTTTTTTTCATGCCATGTGTTTCTGCAGCAAACATGGAATTTCTCACTAGATATATATATCTTATGGATGGAATT